TGTTGTGTTTAGCTACCTTTTATATTTAAAAAATTAAAAATAAAAATTACATTCTTATTAGCGTAAAGCTTGATTTGATCTTTGTTTAAATGCCAAAACTGTACTTCAGTGAATTATTTAGAATGCCATAAATTGCAGTTTCATATCTGTATATAATAATCATGTTCACATATAATGCTTCCTAAATGAATTTTGCTCTTAAATAATTTGGCTTGCTGTTTACTCCCTTTTGTAGTTTTTAATCTAAGAAATTTTAAGTCTAAATTTAAAAATTAACACATTTAAAGCTTTATCTTTGTGCAATCTGAGTCTATGTGAGATATCACGATGGCATAGTTTGTCTTAGTTGATAATCAAAACTTTAGAAGTCATCATTTCTGGACTTGGTAAGTGAATTTCTCAGATCTATTGCTCTAGAAAGTATAGATGGCCAAAGGACCATTTTGTATTGTTTCCTGGTTACTAGTCTGATTATACTGTGTGTGCTAATATACTCTATTCTTTTTGTTATAGATTGTCTTAATGGTAGGTCAAGTAATAAAAAAGATTAAATAATTTAAATTCTTAAATGAATCCGTTTTTCTTCCCTTCGTCCTTCTCTTCTCCCTCCCCTTCTCCCTTTGGAATCTCCAAATCTGGTTGGCAAGAATGAAAATCACAAGTGAATTACGGAATTAGTGTTTGGAAAGAGTCATGTGTTTGTTTTCAGTGGTTTCAAAGTCAGCTTGTCAAAGAATGAATCTGAAAACCTTGCTTAAAGGGTAATTGAGATATAGCAGGTCTCTTCATAGAGTATTGGAAGGAAGGATTAAATCAGAAGCTGGACATTTCCTTTTTATTGAAGACTGGTTCTCTGGCTTTGGAACTTGCCCAGACTTAACAGGGAAACATTATTTCTGGTCAGCATACTCACCTTGGTTAAATTTAATAGCCACTTAGATATTGAGGTCTGTTTATATATTTTGCATATACAAAGTTTTATTTATGAGGAGTGACTTAATTAAGTTGTACTCGGTATATTGTTATTAATTTCTTTATGTCCGATGAGTTGGAGATGTGTTGTATTCTAGATCACCCTTTAATTAGCACTGCTTTAAATCATCTCGTCCAAATTCAGTAATCCCTTCCATCAGCTTACTGGAGTGGAACCTTTAGAGTTACAACGGAATACAACTAAACATGTTCCTTAGGTTGCCCTGGCCAGTGTAGCTCAGTTGAGTGTCCTCCCATATGCCAAAAGGTCTGATTCCCTATCTGGGCACATGCTGGGGTTCTGTCCCAGTGAAGGACGTGCAGGAGGCAGCTGATCAGTATTTCTCTCTCACTTTGATGTTTCTCTCTCTCCCTCTCTAAAATCAGTAAAAACAAACATTTAAATATATTTTTATTGATTTCATAGAGGAAGAGAGCGAGAAAGAGAGACAGAAACATCAGTAATGAGAAAATCACTGATCAGCTGCCTCCTGCAGGCCCCACACTGGGGATCGAGCCCACAACCAGGGCATGTGCCTTGACTGGGAATCGAACCTCAACCTCCTGGCTCATAGGTCAATGCTCAACCACTGAACACACTGGCTGGGCTTAAAACATACATATATATATATATATATATATATATATATAGAGAGAGAGAGAGAGAGAGAGAGAGAGAGAGAGAGAGGGGTAGAGAGAGAGAGAGAGGTAGAGGTATATATGTATATTTTTTTTAATGTTTCTAGGTTGACTGTACTGGTTATAGTTTAATTCTCTAAAACATTGGCTGATATAGAATTGGTTTCTCTTTTTAATGACTCAGATACCAACATTTTAAAATTGAAGTAGCATGATGTCGGTTTTCTTAATAGCTAATCCCTTTTTGTAAAACAACCTTGAGAAGCAATGGCTAGGTCACCATTTAATATGTCCCCCAAGGTAGCTATCATAATAGTTATCAGTAAAGGCTGTAAATAGGAGAATTTAAAAGGGGAAATCATAATCTTTCTTCTTACTCTATGGAACTTTTACACGGAAATCAGTATTGTTGTGTACCTATAGAGTTCGAATGTGCTTACCGACGTAAGTTCAGAGCTGTGACTCAACTCTATTCTGTTGCCACTGTACCACAACCGCTATTGAATATAAGTCTTCATTTTGTAAAAGTCCTGCCAATTTAGCTTGATAGTTTTGTGATTTTAAAAGTCACCACTAGATGGAGAGCTTTTTTGGCATCTTGGTTAATCTCAAAGTGAGTTACAGTTGATTCTCATTCACAGATACTGTGTTTGTGAATTTTGTGTATTTGCCTACTTGCTAAAATTTATTTGTAACCCCCAAATCAATACTTGCAGCCCTTCAGTTATTTCTAGGCACACGTGGCGAAGAGTGAGTCTCCCTGCATGCGCCCAGGTGGAACAAGGCGACACTCTGCTTTTCGTTTGCCGTCATACTATTATCAGATGTCTTTTTCATGCTCTACGGTATTTAGTGCCACTTTTTTTGCATTTTTGTGTTTTCTATTGGTGATTTCTCTGTTTAAAATGGCCCCCGAATGTAGTGCTAGCCAGCATTCCTAAGTGCAAGGATGTGTGGTGTGCCTTATGAATAAAATAAGTGTATTAAGTAAGCTTCTTTTAGGCATGAGTTACATACAGTGCTGTTGGCCACAAGTTCAGTGTTAATGAATCAGCAGTACTATAAAGGTTTCTTAACACACAACACATAAAGCAGGATTATGTATTGATTGACAGAATAACCAGTAAAGCAGGATTATGTATTGATTGATTGACAGAATAACCAGAGGCTCACGGGAACCTAAACCCTCATTTCCTCTAGGAGCAAACGGTTCAGTGTCCATTAATTTAGTGCCTGTGGTGACTCTGTAGACCATGAAACTGTCCCGAATAAGAGAATGATCTGTACTTTTTACAATCTTCAAACTCAAATGTCCTCTAAACGCCTTTTCTCCGACGAGTCACGTGCTGTAGAATTCCCTTTCACGTTTTAGTTTGCTGTCAGCAGTAATGAGAACAACTTTTTACCTAGAGATGGGGGGATTTTGTGTCATAGGAAGCTGAACGATGGTCCAAAATGAATGTTACAGAACTTGAAAGTTCTAAGAAAAGAGTCTTGTTTTCTGCTGTTTTTGACAAACAATAGAGTCTTAGTTTTGTTATTAGTACAAACATAATGGAATGTTTAAGATAAGGGGATAGTTAGGGGTCTGGGTATTCTACACATTGCGGTCAAATTCCGTTCTCTCTGTAAAGTACACCTGGGTTTGTGCTATAGGCCACTGGGACCCATGCATCGTCCTGGAAAGGCTGCGGTGGAGCTGCAGCTTACCTTCTGAGGCGCTGCCATTTAAGTCCAGGCCACTGTGCTGCTCTTGCAAGGTCTTTGCCTGAACATTTCTCTCCCTTCTGAGTTAGTTACCCAGTCCCTCCTCCAAAGGGAATTATCGGCCTGAAGTAGGCAAGCAGTTCATGAAGTGGGAAGCCCTGGGCTGCAGAAGTCTCTGCATTAATTTAAGGTTCCTCTAATAAAGAGTTGTTTATCTTTAAGTAAAGAAATGCAGCTTCATAAACTGGGCGAGATTCTTGAGCTTCTGTATTACAGTGGAAAGAGCACTGGAAATTGAGATTTAAATCATGGAGTTGTGTGATTTTTGTTAATGTCAGCATAATTTTTCTTTGCATTGGAAGCAGGGGCTTCTGTCTGTGTTCGGGAGGATTGGAAACTGTGTGTTCATTCTCACACGGTAAGAGCTCAACGAATGGGAGTGATGGAGATCAGGTTCAGGGGCAGTGTGCTGTGGGGCAGAAATTCCTTGCCATGTGCCTTATTGGGGCTGTCGGGACACATTGCAGAAGTCTTGGATGACTTTTTTAGTCTTGACCTTGTACCTTTAGTAACTTTTTTCTACCCACACGCCCCACACACACTTGTGCTGTATTTGAGCTCTTCCGATGTTTGTCTGTGAGTTGACCTGATAGAACCAGGAGTTTTTACTTGTTGACTAACTGGCTACTCTGGCTACTCTATAGTATGAATACTTTCCTCTCATTTGTGTTTTCAGTCATGAATTATGGGACTAAGAAACAGCCTTTTTTTTTTCGTAATATATTTTATTGATTTTTTACAGAGAGGAAGGGAGAGGGATAGAGAGTTAGAAACATCGATGAGAGAGAAACATTGATCAGCTGCCTCCTGCACATTCCCTACTGGGGATGTGCCCACAACCAAGGTACATGCCCTTGACCGGAATTGAACCCGGGACCTTTCAATCCGCAGGCCGATGCTCTATCCACTGAGCCAAACCGGTTACGGCAGAAACAGCCTCTTAATACAGGTGTTTAAGGCATCAGCAATTCAGGAGGGAGAAGGTAGAAGAGACAGGGAATCCTCAAAATACCCACTTTTGGGGGAGGTTTGGGAAATAAACTTTAGATTGACTCCTTTTTGAGAAAGTAGCTGAGAAGGGCATCTAGCATGCCAGAGCTCTCCAGTGGCCCCTGCTGCTCTTGGGGGCAGGCGGGGGACAGCTCCTGGATCTTGGGAAAGACTGGTTGGTGAGCTGTGCTAGGCCTTGGCTTTCTCCAGCCTCAGTCCAGCTCGTGAACCGGCTGGGCCCACTCCTATGCTGTCCCACCTTCAAGACCACCCGTGTCCCTTCGCTAAAATCCCTCCTGTGTTGGATGCTAGTTTGTCATACTTGTGTTATTTCAGTTGATATTTAAGTAGTCTTTAGATTAGAACATCCCTTTTCTGGTATTCTGAGCAAGTCCCTGTTATTTTTACCTCTTGTAATGCCATTTCATAGAAATTACTTTAGAGGACCGGTCAGTAGTGATTCTCGTCCTCGGGTTGAGCCACAGTGACTGGAATATAAGGAGAAAGTGTGAGGTCTACTTGGAACCTATGTGAGAGTTAGTTTTAGATTTTTTTGTTTGCTTGTGATAAGTCTGATGTTTTATCTGGATTAGGAGTTAGCCTCGTAGATACAATAAGGATCTGGAGGTCAGTTAGGTGTCCACTTGATGTCCTTTTATTTTATTTGTAACAATTAATACTCTCTTCTGGGATTAAGGCTTCCATACCCTTCAAGTCTGACCTTGGATTCATCCAGATTTCCCAGTGGGCTCAGGAGGTGGTCTGCGGAGCCAGGGCAGTCAGTCCACTCAAGAAACGGTGCACCAGGAAGGCAGGCCAGGGTCCCACTTTGGCTCTTTGAGGACCGTCCCAATGCCCTACCTGCTCCCTGAGCTCACAACCCAGGGCCTCCAGCTTGGGCCAGGGCACGTGAGGACGCAGAGGTCCGCACTCGAGTCCACCGTGGCTGCAGGTGTCGTTTCTGCAGTTGGGCTCGTCCAGCCCCTACCTTGTCAGGTTAGCCTGGCCAGAGTCTGGGGCTGCCTGTTCTGCTGGGCCACTGGCTACGACACTCTGCTCTCCGTGGGCCGCTATGCACCCCTCCACGGTCCTTAGGATGACCTGGAGCCTCCGGTCCAGGGCAAGGAGGTGGGGCTCTGTGAGGATGGGGCTGAGCTGGTCCTCCAGCAGTGACTCCCGCATCACGTCACTGAGCCTGTAGTCAGCTTGGGCCAGCAGCTGCAGGTGCAAGAGTGTTTTCTTTTTTATCCTGGAAGGACACAGTCGTAGGAAACATAAGTGTAAAGAAAAGAACTCATCCTGAACTGACTTTCCCCACAAAAAAAACTGTTGTAGTTGTTGATGTTCTGAGCCTCTCCCCCGATATCTTTTCAAGCACATTTAAGTGAAAATCGGGTAAAAAGGGAGTGAATAAAAGATGACCCAATATTTCGCAGCCCTTTCCCAATTGCCTTTTGGTCAAAGGCCTGCTGAGCTGTTTATACTATAATAATTGTAATGCGATGCTGGACCGTACACATCTGACGTTGCTAAGAGAATCAGAAGCGATATAAAGCTGCGAGAGGTTTCTAGTCGTGAAATGGTGAAGTTGGGCATCTCAGGAGCTCTAGGTACTGCCGGCCTCCAAGTTGTTTCTTGGCAACTTTACTTGGTGTGAGATTCTTGAATCCGAGGGGTGAAAATGGGGTAGGTGGAACTGACCTTGACTTAAGAATTCTGATTTCTTTTCATGTGGAAATCTGACTTGGACTCAGATGCAGCCTGATTGTCCAACTTTTGTCATAAACTGCTACTGCTTGCCCTATTCAGGAAGGGAGGCAGGGAGGGGAGCACATCTAAACCTATAAAGAAAATTCCGGCTTCCTTCTGCGTTTTTCAGCTGGAAAGGAATGAGATGGTTTTGCTAGGTGTGAGTCCCATAGTTCTAATGAGCTCTAACTGCAGCTGAGCGGCTGGACACATCACAAGCCTACTGAGACCAGGACCAGATGCTCCAGAGAAACGGTGGCCAGGCGAAGGTCATGCTTCCTTTCCATCTGACAGCATTTTACTCAGATGGTGGTCAAGTAGTAATATTTATGAGCTTCTATGAGTGCTAGGCGAAGCAGAGGTCTGATTACTCATATCAAAGAGAGGCTCTGCCAAAGTGGGCTGAATATTAAAGTTAGTGAGTGAAAGGTTTAAAAAAAAAGGTCCTAATTCATCCCATGCTGAAAGATGAAAGCTTTGGAGATATCGGTAATTCCTCTCATTCCACCCACCCACGTCCAGACCAATGGAAACAGGAAGAGCCTCAGAACGCAGTTTCGAGCAGGATAAAGTGCCGCAATGGTGCCCTTGAACTGAAAGCTCACCTGCAGCACTGGGAGAGAGGCGAGAGGATGGAGATTTCGTCATGGGAGTGTCGCCCAAACCTAGGAGGAGAACCAGCATTTCGTGAGTGGCAAGCAGACCTCCCTCCTCACTGTTTTTTCTCTCTCCTCTGCCTCAGCCTTTCTTTTGAAAGCACAGCTTAGGGTAAAGTGCCAGGGCTCATGCAGCTGCCCCTCCAGCCCCTGTCCTCAATCAGCTCACAAAGCCTTTGTCCAGATGTCCAAAAATGTTAAACCCCAGCAGTCATTCATCTATTCACCAACTGCTGAGGGCCAGACACCGAGCATGAGCCACGTGCTCTGCCTCCGGGAGTGAGCCCTCAAGTAAAACCCTATGCAAAGCTCCCATCTGTTTCGCTAGCGCTCTCAGGGTAGAGGAGAAGCAAGGCGACTGCAGAGCCCCTCAGCAGCTGCAAGGGCTGCGGATGGGCAGGAGGAATGGGTGACACTTACCCTCTGGCATTGTCCAGGTGAATAAGGAACCCATCATCCCCAAATTTGGTGAACATCTCATAATGGTGACGGTCCATATTTCCTGTAAAGGAGAGAGGCATTGGAGCGAGGGACCATAGGCTGAGGATTCGGAGGGCAGTTCAGACAAGAGCCTGAATCCAGGGCCACAGCTGTCATTTCCCCCCAGTGATTAGGGACGTTGCCGAGGGAGAAGGAAACTAAACAAGCCAACACACCCTAGTGTGCACTTTGCAAATCTAAGGCTTTCACTGTTTTTCTGCAAGCCCTGGGGCCTGGGACTCGAATACTCTGCACCCACGTTGGCTTTCCTTCCTCACCTGAGCTCCTCAACGGAGGCCCATTGGGAAAAGCAGACACAGGCTGACTTCCCCAAGGGTGTGAGTGAGCCGGGCGGGTGCTGTAGGCCTTCAGGTCTGTG